TGTCTCAGAAACCACATCTCTGTTGTTTCCAAATTCTTCTTAATTTGTTCACTGACATTCCATACAACAGAACAGGTTCTATGAAACTTTTTATCACTCTCTTTGCCTCTCTGCCTGCACATAAGAATTTCTTCGAGCATTGCCAGGTATTTTTGTTTGATACTACTCTGAGTGATGATACCTTCTTCATCCAGTTCATCTTTAGGCCATGCTTAACAAGAGCTTCCTCAGAACAACAGTCTGAATGTAATTTGGCTGTCAGAGCAGCACAGTGAGAATTTCCCGTCATCTAAAGAGACATCTATGCATGCAGAGCCAAGACAAGCTGCTATAGTTCTTAGCTTATTAATATAATATAATATCACATCCCTTGCATGTACAGTAGAACCTCGTTTAACGAGCACCTCTCATAACGAGTAATTCGCATAACGAGCAAATCAAATTGTAAAAGAATGACTCGCTTAACGAGCGACTTTTCGCATAACGAGTGACGTGGAGAGGGGAAGTCCCAAATTGTGCACATGCTACATCAGTCTGTTTAGCACTTGTACCAGTAGCATCGTAGTGTCGCTTGTGATCAAACATTTTCTCAAACTTGTGTTATATTGTGATATGTACATGAAACCTCTAGGCCTACAACATGACCTCCCTGAAGAATTTAAGTTCATCAAGATCCAATTTCTGCCTCCCAACACCACTCCGTTACTCCAGACCATGGACCAGAAAGTTATTTCTAACTTTAAGAAGCTCTACACTAAAGCACTCTTCGAGCATTGTTTTCAGTGACTAAATGGACCAACCTCACTCTCAGAGAGTTTTGGAAAAAATCACTTCCACATCGTTGCCTGCCTCAAAATGATCGACAAGGCGTGGGGAAGGAGGGGGGGGGGGTGTTTACCAAGAGAACCCTAACTTCTGCTTGGAAGAAGCCTTGGCCGGAGAGCGTTGCCAATTTGTGACTTTGAGGGATTCGAGACAGTACCTGTGGAACCTGTAGTCAACGAGATTGTGTCTTTGGCCACTATCATGGGATTGGATGTGGATAACAGTGATATCGAAGAGCTTGTGGAAGAGCACAGCCAAGAGCTGACCACCCAAGAGCTTATAGAGTTGCATTGTGTTTCACAGCAAGAAGTTTTGGAGGAAAGTTTGTCAGAGGAGGAGGCAACAGAAAAGCAACAATCTTCGACTTTTTTTTCTGCAAATCGAATTCGCATTCCAGGTGGGTTCGTTCCGCAGTGGAAGAAAAGATGAAGATGATTCACTCTCCTTGACAATATGTATATAATTTTTTTTTTTATAAACGTTTTACATAGCATTTTGTGAGTATTCTGTTCGACATGGAACGCATTATCGTATTTTATATTAATTTATTTGAGAAAAACTGTTTCGTATAACGAGTGTTTCGCTTAACGAGTATGAATCTGGAACGAATTATGCTCGTTAAGCGAGGTTCCACTGTATCGGGCTTCATGTTCATCACAGGCTACACTTTAAGAGACATGAAGGATCAAGGCTAAAGATTTGAGGACTCTGACTGACTCTAGATAAGGAATGGTTGGATCTTGCAAAATGGTACCAACATCTCAACATATTATGCCCGTTTTTTTTAATCAGATTCTTGGCTAGTAATTTCTGCACTGGTTGTCATGAAATCATTTATGACATACACCAGCCCTAGAAAATAAGCAGTGCATTTTTTTTTATTTGATTTGTTGAAAGGTGGACCATTTATCACATGCGTCCACAAATGACTACAGCGTGGGCAAGGTAAACTTTCCATCTCAAATTAGGTAAGTTTCTATGACATATAGACAGATTTGTTACATAAATGCTACTTAGCATGTCATTTAACATTTTTAGGAACAGTAATGATTTTTTATTTTTATTCTTATTCTGAGAATAGTGCCCGTAGGACAAGGATTTCTCTTATAGCACAGATTGTCGATTTAGTGAGAGGCACACTAAGAGAATTTAAATGCTTTGACTTAATTAGGATTTAACCTATTTGTCAATCATTAGAATCTCACTTGATGGATATTTGAACCAGTTTGTCAAAATTATAGAGTATGTATTTCTTCTTCTTCATCTTCGAGTTCATTGATTGTAAACTCTGTCAGAAAGTTCTACCTCTGGACTTTTGTCTTGTTACAGTATTTAAGTTTTGCATGCACATCCATTTTACAGATCTGGTTTATTTATATGCAGGCTGCTGGTTCCTTGCCTCTCAGACAGCTGCACTCCCACTTCGAAGGAAACCCCTAATTAGTTCGACTCATACAACACGCTTGTTAGGAAGCTAGTAGGACTATTCTTGTTTTACCACAATACGGGACTCCAGAGCCATACATTATGGCAGAGTGTACTTAATGAACTTAGTTTTCCTAAAATTTGACTGATGAATACCAGAGGTTTATCTCAGACCACCAGCTCTGAGACACGCCATCTGCCTAATTGTCTCCAAAAGAAGGGTAACTAACACCAGTACGCTTGGAACAAAACATGCTGCAGAAGCTGCCAGATCAGAAGAGTAGTATTTCATCTGTCCGTCTGTTTGAGCTTTCCTCCTAGAACAGTTACCAAGACTAAGGGTCTGGTCTGCCCTGTCATAACATTAGGTTTAAAGGTTGCATTTCCTCGTCCTAGAAGTAGGCTAGTATCCTTCCAAACGTGCTCCTCTGCCCAAGCAGGAAGTCAGATTTGGTGTATGCAACCTAACAATCAGTTAAGATTGGAACACTTAGTACCGACTACTTTAAATGGTAGCTCAGTGATATATGACTGTGGCCTTGCTATAACAGATGAACTATTTGACAGCAACAGACTACATTAATATTCTCAAGACAATGATGAAGATGTACATTTTGTGAAGAAAAGAAAGGCAACTGTATCAGATGACATCACACTTAACGAAACTCTGGCACTGGGATGTTTGAAAATTGAAATAACAACACTTTCTCTGACCAGGGGTGTGTGTGCTTTTTTCGAGAGAGAAAAAATTAATCATACAGTGTCTACACACACACATACACACGCACACACACACACACACACACATATACAGTACACACATAGAAAAAGCCGGTACACACAACAAAGGGTCTCTTACAGTAGCGCTGAAAAACAAATGATGCCTGTAAAATCATGTCAAAAAATGACAGGTCAGTTTTATTATTCTGGAGTGAGCATGTAAATCAAATATCTATACACCTTGTTCACATCAGATGAAATGTGTATCACAGGGATAACTAATTGAATTACATGCACAAAAAGTCATTCGGTAAAATTAGAAACACCTTACGAAATAAGTCCTTGTCATGGAGTACTTCTTGCATGCAAGAGCCATTTTACCATAATGCTCTGAATCCAGGACAATGAGCAGCTAAAGATCTCCTGACACTTCAGAGAAGTGGTTCTGCAGGAAAATGCTGAAAAACTCATTGGACAACTTAAATGTTTAAAAGGAGGGTGTAAAACACAAAGACCAAAAGAGGTGATGCTGAATGGGCTGAAATGATGGCATGGGAGGATGTCATCAAGAGCTGTTCCAGGCAACCAGGGATCTTGATCCTTGGAGATGCATGAGTGCCTATGTTGACATGCACATGATGATGATGAAGACACAAAGACAACTGATCACAAATATAACACGGGGTAAGGGTGGGATGGGGTCTAAGAAAAATAGAGGGAGTTGTCATAATTAATAACCACATTATGAGAAAAGAATTAGAGTTTTTTTGAGCGTACGACAACTAAACATGTTTGGAAAGGTGATCGAGAACGACAACGGGAGACAATTCATGGTGTCCTTTTTTTCACGCAGGGAAAGGTATCACTCAGCACACAGTTTGAGTATAGTTTTTTTCATCAACAACAACAAAAACAAAAACAAAACAAAAAACTCACTGACAAATTAGCAAGAGACAAACAGAGATTCAAGTGGAAGGAAAACATCAAGAGAAGGACGAACATTCCAAACAGCCGTCTCAGAAAGTCCTCTTCCTCTTCAGCCTTCGCTTTTTTTCTCCACAGCCCTTTTTTTCTTCCCTGGGTCTTCTCCTCAGCAAACGAGATGAGTTCGGGAGACTTTGATACGAAAGAGTTAATGAACCGACTGTTGTTGCAGTAGTACATTTTACCCCACTAGGACATTCCACAAGCGATAAACACCCAGTGATACAAAGTGCCACCATGTGGATGAGGACCACTCGTGGAGAGGTCTCGGAAACCGCGTTCAGCCATTAGGCCATATTTATGATCTGGCTACATTGTGGCCTCTGGCAAGAGCCAGCGTGGGGCTCCAAAATAACGAAAAATTTCATCACACGAGGGGATGACTAATTATAAAACTGAACCGTCTGTGACTGACTTTCCTACCCCACCAGGACACCATACAAGCGATAAACACCCGATGACACAAGTGCCACCATGTGGGTGAGGATCGCCGTAGAGAGGTCCAAGAAACCGCGTTCAGACTATTGGCCATATTTATGGCCTGCCTTTATTGCGGCCCCTGGCAAAAGCCAGGGTGGGGCTCCAAATAACAAAAAATTTCGTCCTAAAAAGGACGAAACACCTATTGCTAGGTTAGTAACAGATGAACCGCCTGTCGGAAGTGTGCATTAAAAGAGGACATGCTTGCAGAAACCGGCTTCGGAACAAAGAAGGATGATATGCCATTCAATTCTTACTGGGTATGCTGAGCATGGAGACACTGAGATCGCTGCAGTATCGAAGGCAGAGCACGAATGGGTCGGGCATATGGGCTAGTGTAAGTACAACTATAAACTTTCCTTGTATTTTTTCGTTATATTCATCAGCTGGGAAAACTTTTGCAAACTCAAAATTTCACAACAGGAAGTGCAAGTAACGACAGCAGTCGCTTCCCTTGATCCGGTGAACGTTGACGACAGAAATGATAGAAGATAACTTCATCGTTTAAGATGCTTTAGATTTATGTTTTGCGTTTGAATATTTCATACCACACACAAGCATCAAACATGTGTGAGCCAATGGACTCTTCGTTTGATTCGAAGATAGATGGTGTACAGAATCAGTCATCTCCGCAAACTCAACCAGCGGGAGGTAGTGCGACCCAGACTGTCATGATCAGCAGCCCTTCAGTGGGCGATTCCACCAACGTTTTAAAACCTGCTAACAGTTTCACTCCTTTATTGAGACCTGGGAGCATGGGTACTGTGCAGTTTGAGTCTCTATATAATAATTTTAAGGGATAGTTTATCTATTCTACTTGGTTACTTGAATGTATAGTAAATAAATACTGAAACCGAAACTCGAAACTATCTACTTTCTTTTGTTTACATTCTACGTCGTCAGTCTCAGGAGGATGTGATTGTTAACTCTTTCAGTCCCAGCCAAAGTTACTTAGACACTTCCTACCAGAAACTTGTTACTTTGGGGTTTTACATAATCTTACTGTGTTAATATAATACAGCTATGACACAGTAATGGTTTAGGACCAAATGCAATTAAGATTAACACTAACTAATAATATTAATAACAGAGGAATAGATACAGAATTATACAAATAATTATAAGATTTTCAGAATGTATAACATGAATAGAGTATATTCAGTAAGCATTGATTGGAATTTGAACCTGTGGCCACCAGGTCAGGAGATAAGCTTAAAGAGCACCATGGTGAAAACATGAAGTGTAAACAGTAGAGATGTGTTGAAGTCTATCAGACACCAACTGTTTTGGGGAAAACAGCAGCAGAAAAAAAAATCACTTCTAGGTTTCTTGATTTTAGATAAAGGTATATTATAAATGTATGTTATGGCAGAGAAGGATATCATCGACGTCCTTCAGCGTCACTCTCATGGCATGCTTGAAAGCCAATCAGTCCACTGCTGGTTTTCTTGCCTTGACTTTCATGCTCAGGGTGTCATTGATATCCTGTGCTCACCATTGTGCCACAATAAATTTCTTGGGATGCATAATGTGTAGTTTCCCCAATTTCAACATCTGCATGGCTTTGGTTTATGTCTTTAGCTACCTTCTAAATTGCCGGGAAAAATAATTTCCTTACTATGCGATACCTTTGCTAAAAGAAATGAGCAGCCTGTGTGTTCACTTATCCAGGTGGATGCTCAGTCCCCAGAGTTGTATTATCCATGCCTTAGTGAGCTCCCATCATCTACCATACAGAAAAATATATATAATTAGAAAATTTGAAGTATTTACAAACTGTCTGTTCTGGGAGATAGGCATCTACACCGTGTTGCCTTTCTTAGAGGTAGTCTACTTATGTGTTTAATATGTCAGTCAAGTGCCATCTCCTCACTGAAGGCTGGAGACAGTGAAACCCTAGGTACTCTGTCAACCTGGTTGTACACTCTCTGATGCTGTTGTTTGTCCATATTTTGATATTCATCATCCAACAGCAGGTCCTTAACAGAGGTCGCTCTTTTCACAGCACAGCTAGAGGTCTCTCTCTTTCTCTAGCCTATTCTACAGCCCTCTGTGCCTTCACAGCCAGTGCATCTTTGGTGTCTTGTATCCACCTTCGCAAAGGTCAGACTCTACTTTGTTTTCCAGAAAAGGCATTCTCCATCACCGTTCTCTCCAGACCACTATGGCACTTGACATGTCTAAAATACCCCAACTTTTGGGGTAGGATGCTCTTTGATGTTCACATCATGCAGGATGTTGACATCTTTCTTCATCTTGGTCCATGAAATTCTAAGAACCTTTCTGTAACATTTCAGTTCAAGAGCTAAATTTTCTTTTTTCAAGAGCTTAAGTTTTTTTTAGACTGAGTGAGAGTCCATGACACATGTCCATAAGCTGCCAAAATTTTCACTTTAACTTGCGTGCAGGTGCTGTGCCATAGGTTCTTCATACATCTTGATATTATCCTCCCATTATATCACTGCCTACCCTTTGCTTGCTTGCCTTCAACTTTTCCTTCAATATTGTTTTTTATAGAGTATTATGTCCTCATTAGACCAGATTATGTTATTGGTCTGGTTTATTTCTCTCAGTGACTGTTTTTTTATCATTCTGAGTCTCCTCAGTACCTCTGTTTGTGATGTTGTTCTGAATTGGTAATTAATTGTGTACTTATCTTTGCATGCCTGTAACGCTTAAGTTCTATCAGACCCCCACCTCCCCTCCCCCTTTACGTCACACGCCTCCCCCCCCCCCCATTTGTTTTCATTTCTCAGCTGGTTCTGTCTTGAATTAGAAGAGTGCTAATAAATTGCTATAACAGTTACATGTGCTTAACTTTGTAAATATCTTTATGTAAATATTGTTACAATAATTGTCAGGTGTACACATTTGTTTGTTTTAAAGTTATGATGACCCTGACAGAAGAAGATTACGAGATGCAATACTGGCCAAAACTGAAGACTGCAATTGATCAACTGTTGAATATGAAGCCAGGTGCCTACATACCAATTTCTTACGAGCAAATGTACAGGTTTGTATGTTTCACATAGTTTATTAATCTCGTTTGCTTTGGGTTTTATTTTTACCTTCTGATTCACTTATTACAAAATAATTTTTTTTTCTTTTGAATTTTAATAAACAAGTAACCAACAAAAATATATGTCATGCCTCTCTGTATCGAGCCAGGTGTGTAACTACAGATTTTCACCAACATATAATCTTCTTTCTTCTTTACGTCCTCTTTTACCGTTTTGGGTGTCAGTGGAGATATAAGGTCCTGCTTCGGGCTCTTCTGGCTGCTTCGACCATAGACACATCGTAGTGCTGTAGAGTTTCTCTGATGTTATCTTCCCATCTTGTTCTTGGTCTACCTCTTGCTCTACATCCTTCTCTTTTCGTGCATGCCTTGTATGGTAAAGCATCAGAAGGTATTCTCTCCAGGTGAGCAAATCATTTTATTTGCTGCCTTTGTGTGTAATTTCGAATTAATTATATACCGACTTTATCTCATATGACCTCATTCCTGATTTTATCTCTTCTGGTCACTACTACAATCTTTCTCAGACACCTCATTTCCATGGTTACTAATTTTCGTGACAAACAAAATTCCCCTCCCCCCCACACACACACACTACTCCCCTCCTCTCTCAAATATGAATACTTTCACTTGATATACATTGCTTGTTGCACTGTACTTGGAAATGAGAAAGATACAGCCACAAAGAACTTTGGTTCTTCATTGACCTCTGCTGCTGTTATGATGACTTCTGAATTGGTTTGGGAGTTCTTACAGACCCAGTCTACAGTCCTGATCTACCTTGTGACTTTTATTTGTTGAAACCTTTTAAAAGCTCTCAAGAGACATCAGTTTAGCATTTTTGTTATTCACTTCTTCTTCAGCCTTTAAACTCTTGAGATTCATTGCTACAGACATCACCTATCACCATTCCTCTATATATTTGGTCTTCACTTTCCCCATGGTGACTTCAAGTCTTTGTAGATTTGCCTATATATTATCTGTCCACTATGTTAGTATTCTTTGTGGTCCTACTTCACTTGACTTTTTTTATGTGAATTTTATGCTTTTTTATGTGCTTTTCTTGCCATATACTCCAGCTGTTGTAGTCTATTGACCCTTGTGATGCCAGTAATTAATGGCTAATTATGAATTTAAACTGATAATGAATTTAATTGTTGCTTCTTATTTTTCATTTTCTGCTAATTTCTTAATCTAATTACGCATTAAAGACATTTATGAGGAACTGCAGTTGTGTTCTTTTTGTTTAAATATTTATGTTTCTGGGATGGTTTTTGGTTTACAGTTGTGTTTACAAATGTGTGTGCAAGCAGTTCTCAGAGAGACTCTACAACGATCTATTAAACCACTTATCTACCCACATGGAATACCTCAACTCAGAGCTAAAAATTCATGTGAGTATTTTGTGCATGTTTTATTGACAGTGATCTTTCCGCTTACAGTCCATACTATAAGGCATTTGTCATCACATGTGTCCTCAGCCTTCTGTCTAGCATCTTCTCCATAGGTCTTCCTTTCTAATTTTCTGACTGTTATATTTTCTCGTTGTTCTCCAGAACTTTTCATTTGTCGGGGAATTTAATTATGTTATATCTTTTCATGATGTGGATTATATGCGTCTGATACGAGTTGTCAGTTCTGTAATTTGAGTTGGTTTCTTTGAAGACATTTGTATTACTCATTTAATCTATCTGAATTGTTCTTACTGTTCCTCTGTATAGCCAAATCCCTTTTGTGGCCGATTTCTAGCCAAACTGCTTTCTGTTCAGCATTGTCTACTATACACCAGAAATGACTCTGAATTACTTGGTTTCACTGAAAAAGATGTATCAAATTACCTTCATTTTCTAAAAGACTCCCCGTCTTTGGTGTTTCTGTATTTTATGTATTTAACCCTGTCACCCCAATGACCTAAAAAAAAACTGTTTCAAACAGGTCACCCCCCCCCCCCCCCCCCCAATGTGTAGCTCCATTTATTGATCAAAACAATTTTTAATTCTATATAGAAGACGGGAAGTCATCAGTAAACACGAATACACAGAGAAATTTATGTGTACAACCTCTTTACGTCAAAAAATTAATGTTAACAGTGATTCATTTTGCCTCCCATGACCCGGTCGCATTCAACACTTTGACAAATGGGGGAGGTTATGACATCATAATTTCTAATTATAATAGTCTTTGTATCCACAGACCCCTCCCCCCCCCCCCCCCCCCACTTTTCCCAGTAAATGTAGTCATTATTGAACCTCCTAAACATGTGTGCAAGCACAAGCAATATCAATGCTGTGGGCAAGGCATCTCATATACAGGCCACTATAGCCAAGTCAGAAAAATGACTCTCTTCGGATATTGGACCCAACCAGAAGTGTCAGTTTTGTGGCTTCTAGGGGCGACAGGGTTAATACATCAAGTCTGCTATAATTTTCAAAATAAATCAAATGAAAATTCATATTTTTTATGCACAGCTCTGACTGAAATTGAAACATTTGAACAGGCTAAGTTCAACATGCAGAAGATATATCATGAAAATAAATTCTACTAAAACGGAAGTAATACAGGTCAGCAGAATTCTTAGTTCGCCACATATCAGGTTGAATGGTGCTTGTCTGGAGCAAGTTAAAGAATTTAAACTTTTAGGAAGTATATTCTCGGAGGACGGGAGAATAGATCAGGAAATAGAAACAAGATGCCGAACCAGTGTACTTATATACTAACTGACACAATTATTAAGACATCAAAACATAAGTATGACTGGCAGGAAACATATTATAAACAGCATATTCATACCAGCATTGTGCTACCATTATCAAAGACTTACCTACGTAAAATTAACACCTGCAAAATGAGATGCCTGAGAAAAGCCGCCAACCTAACCATCCGAGACAAAGTTAGAAATGATATTATCAGACAGACTGTAGGAACAATGCCATGCAGCAAATTCCTTGAGAAACAGAAGATCAGATGGTTTGGTCATTTAGTAAGAATGCAGCGAGAACAACTACCAGTGCAGGCGCTGCACATGAAAAAATCTGAAATGAAAGCAGTAGACCGCCCTAGGAGAAGATGGATTGATGACATTAAAGAGCTTCTACATTGACACAGATTGATAATAGTCAATGCTGTCCATCAGGCAGTGGATCGCAAACTGTTCCTTTCCACAACTTTTAACAGCAGATGTGGAAATAGAGGATAATGCTGATGACTGAAGTTGAAAAGTAAACATAATTTTTTTTTTTCAATGCAGTCAACATCCACTATTATTTTAATCCATTTAGTGGATATGACAGATGTATCAACCAAGGCCAAATGCTAACTCATTAGTTATGATGTATATATCCATCCTTGACTTTCTGTGGTCTGTATCTAGTGGGTATAGTGAGTTGCACTTTTGCAGCTTGCTCTGCTTTTTATTAGTTTTCAATAATTGATAGAAGTACTCCTCAGTGTCTATTGGGTGTTTAGTGTTTGGTTTCCGTGCTGCAAGTGCATCTTGTCTTCTCTTGATTCACAATTATTTCTTGTTGTTTATACATTATAACTGTTCTGAAATTACCCAGAGCTGCAAAAGAAGCTGCCTATCTAGACTTCACAATTAAAAAGATTTGACTGTAGATGAAATAAAGACAATTGAAATTTGAATTCTCCTGGGAATTTTGTATGAGCCGTAACAAAAACAATTTCACAGAAGGAATCAGTTGATGTACACTTCAATAAAGTGATACATTTCAGGAAAGTAATGAAAAAAAAAGTTGTATCTTTTACTGAAATTTCTTCGGCTTAAAGACAATACCTTGTGACTCTAGAACAATCTGGAAATAAAATACACAAAAACAAAATAGTAATACCTACTATAGAAGCATTCAGACACACTTAAATTACCCACTTACGGGGTTAAGTTATAAATGTTTTAACACATTCATGGCTTTTTATCAAATTTTATTCAAATGTTTATGCTCATGTGTTTTCCTTGTTGTACATGCCAGATTTTTCAGCTGAAAAATACCAGAGTTTGCCTTTCGCTGGTATTAGTCTATATTCCTATTCTGATTACCCAAGTATCGGTCCGTTATACATTTTACTTTACTAGATGATTGTTTAATTAATGCTGTCTATTTTTCAGGAGGGCAAAACCATTCCTTTTATTGAGACATTTTCATTCATTATGCACCAGTACCTGCAGGCTCTATCAGGGATAGTTCCAATTTTTAACTACATGGTATGTTTCTTGTATGTTTCTCTCTTTATTGCTGTAGTTACTTAGGACCAAATAAATAATGGTACAAATGGAGAAAAAAAAAACATGTACATCTGAGGGGTACAACAATATAGTTAGTTCATTACAGATCATTGCAGAACCAACCCACGCATTTATTGGCTGTTTTGGTTTGACTAGGCACTTTTATGTTCACTAGTTTGCCATTGATTTCTAAATGATTGCCTGTCGATACAGTTGTCAAAATCAACACAGAGCTGTCTGATGTCAAATTGCCAGCATCTGGTATATCCATAAATGAGCATAATCATGTGGGTTTCAATCCCAAGCTTCTTCATCCTCTTCTGCTTTTTTTTTTTTTTTTAAGTATCTGCTTTGTACCACTGGGCCTTGCAGTTTGACGGATGATGAGTTGCGAGCCAGTGCATGCTGAGTGACTTGTGCTGTTGTGTAGTCTTAGTTTTTGTGTGTGTGTGTGGATGCAATTGTTGTTTACTGCAGAGCTGCTGTATTTTACCTTTTCGGATACTACCTCTGATTTCTTTCTGGAACTTATTGACTGAACTCATCTTTCTGAAGTTTCATAGCGCATGCAGCCTCAGAGTGGTGGTATCATATTTGTCCTTGTGTGACAGAGGGCCTGCTCAGAACAACTATGTCCATGCATGTCTGCTTTGCAGGGAAGGACACAGACTTCCTCTGTCATCCATGCAGACTTCCTTTAATGCAGAGCGGACACATAAAGCTTACACGTACCAGCACAAGACCGCAGGCTACACCTGGCTGGCATAACCATTATGGGTGCACTACTTATAACTTCTTTGGAGGTTTAACGTAATATCTAGAATCTGCATTATCTGTGTCGTGACAAGATGAACAACTAAAAGAGATGAAGCCTTATTACAGGTTTTCGAAAACAGAGTCTTACGACGAATCTTTGGACCCATCAAATATGCAAACAGCAGGGAATTTAGAGTGAGAAGCAACAAAGAAATTCATAATCTGTTTAAATTACCATTGATAACTGGCATCATGAGAGCTAATAAACTGAAATGGTTGGGGCATATTGAGAGAATGTCAGATGTTAGAGAAGTGAAAACTGTATACACAAGGGAGATGAATGGTCGTAGACCACAAGATAGACCAAGAAGACGATGAAGAGATAACGTCCAGACAGACCTGCAAAAACTTGGTATCACCAACTGGAAAGAGAAAGCTAATCAGAGAGATGAGTGGAGGCAAGTGATAACTGCTACAATGAAAATCAAGGGCTCAGAATGCTGAAGAAGAAGGAGGAGGATCTGCTTTGTTGGTCTGCCACTCCAGATTGATATTTTTTCATCTCAAGATAGTGTGGTAAACCTTAAGGTAACAACCCAGTGGGGACAAAGCGATCGATCAGTCGATAACCCTTACTCAAGAGATTGTGACATCCTGCTAGCGTCATTTCCAATATTAAACCTGGTTTGCAGCTTTAGAGACCAGTAGGATGCAGTCTGAAGACTTGAATTTGTTTGCCCTTCACGTATTGAGCAGTATGATCACTCGCAATGTTGCCAACACTATTGGTTTACAGGATCGGATGGTGCATTTCAAATTTTAAAAAGAACAAAAAATGTAAAGCCATAAATGCATTGTGTGACCACTGTGAAGATCTGTGGAAAAAAAGAGACAGAAGAAGACAATGAGAGAAGATTCTTGGCAGCCTTTTGTGATGGTAGGAGGCGTGTCAACACTGAACTGAAGTGCTGTGATCTCCACAGATTGTGGAGAGGCATGATCACCCAAGACAGTTAATGATGATGATGAAGTCTACTAGTGCTGCAGTTTTATTTATTTTCTTTGTGTGTGTATGTTCATTATTCGAAGAATGCCACTTTAATGAAAATCACCCTTGTTCCTGAAACTCTCATTTGCAGAATCGTTTTTATGTGGAAAACAAGTTGAAGACTGACTTGAATGAGGAGCTTCGAAAACTGTTCCGTTTAAAAGTAGTGGATGTTCATATAACTACATTGATAAGTAAGTAAAGTATAAACTTGGTCTTCATAATGTTAAAAGATCCCCATTTCATATGCCCTACTGGTGAGACAGCACTCATTGAGAAATATGGTCAATAGCACAGCACAGGCTCTTTTACCTTCTAGAGCCTTTTCTGATACCCCTGTTAATAATGACGATCTGAGAAACATCTGTTGAAAGCAGAAATGTAGTTTCTGAGGAAAATTATAAGAATTTCATGGACCGGAAAACGAATGAGGTAACCTAAGAAACATATAAAAACCTGAAATTTATTCGTAGTTAAATGAGGTGCCATCTCCACAAGGATGTTTGGCTGCAGTGAATCTCCAATATGTTCTGTTCTTTTGCCTTTAATTTACGTTCTCTAAAACTGCTATTCTTCCATCTTTTGATGTTATCCTCTCACTTGAATCACTGTGTCCCTGTTGCATACTTGACTTCAGCTTTTCTCTCCGCTTGTTTTTGTTGTTATGTTTTTCAACTTTGAAAACTTTTTTTTTTTAAATTTAGAAACCATAAATTGTAAACCCTTTGGTTTGGTATTATGGATATCGCAACCCTTCGGCTGCATTGATTCCATAGTAGTAAAGTAAAGTTCCATTTTCCACGCATAAGGTGTATTGGGAATATAGGGAAATACCTATATTTTTATAGACCAGTTGGCACTCGGGTGATGTGGTCAGCATCACGCTGGCCACCTTTACTTCCCAGGACTGCACCTGGTACCCACTCAAGGCTGGGTTGACCTGGGAGTCATGGTCATTTTTGAAAAAAGTCAAGTTGCCTTAGGATGTTCATTCCATGATAAATACCGTAAATCTGGAAATATGTGGCTTTTCTGCCTACCCATGAGCGTGAACTCAGACCACAATGAGTTTGTCACCTAGTGCCATGCAGGCTGGTTTAACCAACTTAGCTAGTGGTTTTTGTAAAAGTGGTATGCCTTTTACAGCCGAAATGTGTTATTTTTTTAATTGCTAATCACTTCAGAACCTCTGAATATTTTTGTTTGCCTTTTTTTTTAATTATCCTAGTTCCTGCACCATACAGCATATTAGACAATTTAAGTGCACAGAGTCTAGATTGTTCTGACATATTATAAAAAGAAATTAACTTTTAAATGTAGTGACCAGTGGCAAACTGGTGAGGAAAAGAGCAATGGAAAGATAGCAAAATTAATACATAGATGGCTTGGACACATGATGCAATGAGCAGAAGTATTCAAATGTGAACTGATATTTTGGTGTAAAATATCCAGTGATGATTCTTATGCTCATCTGCATGGCACATGAGGTTCACTGCTGCAGATAACATACACTTCTATTAATCTCTGACTGGCCTTCTCTTTCCAGTTTTGACTCTAGGTATTTGTGTCCTCCTGTATCTCTCTGCTGTCTTGATCTGTCTCAAGGTCTACTGCTATTGTGCATAGATTTTGTCTCCCTGTTATTTGCTGTTCTCTCTGTATACCCCTGCCACTACAGTCTTTTAGCCCTCTTGATGCCATTGATCAGTGGGGATTTAAACAGAATATTAATTTAATTGTTGCTTCTCACTCTCAATTATCCACTGTTTACATCTTTAATGGGTGCATGATAATGATGATTTTGTAATGCTGCGGTCACACGCAAAAATCTTAATTCAAAGTTAGTTTGAACCAAGTTCAAACATTTGTAATAAGGCTTCATCTGTTTTACTTTGCTCCAATTTCTAGACTTAACAGTAAAATCTTGTTTGTTAACATTACTAGAGGCTTGCCAGTAAAATCAATTTATAATGTTAAAGAGGTTTACCAGAAAAAACAACATCTAGTATTGATACTCATACTTTCATTGAATATTAAGAAAGCGTAAGTAATCGTTATATCAGAGAAGAAGATAATTCCACGTTGTGATATCTCAGTTAAAGGAAAAAGACATAACCAAGTTAATAAATTTAAGTATCTAGGAACAATCATATCATCAGATGGAAAATGTATGATAGAGATTAAAAGCAGAATAGGTCAAGCGAAAGTTGCATTTCAGACAATGAAAAATATCTGATGCAATAAATCGCTCTCATTTAATGTCAGAAAGAGGGTGCTAAAATGTTACATTGAACCTGTTCTGCTGCATGGCAGCAAATCTTGGAATGTCACTGCACAAATTAAGAAGAATTTAGAAGCAACAGAGATGTGGTTTCTGCGACGAATGTTACGAATACCTTGGATGGCCAGAGTAAATAACAACGATTGCTTGAAAGAGGCTAATGAAAGAGACAAACACTGTTCTTTAGCCACATAATGAGAAGAGAGACATTGGAGAACATCGTGACAACTGGAAAGATCACTGGAAAGAGGGGTAGAGGCAGACCAAGAGAGAAGATGCTGGATGGGCTGAAACGATGGCGTGGAGGAATATCATTAATCCAGACAACCAGGGATTGTGATCTGTGGAGACGCATGAGGGCCTACGCCAGTTGGCAGGGCATATGATGATGATGATGACTAGTTACTTATTTGTAAAATCAGTATATGGTATTGTTTCTAGATGTTTACCATTGAAATCAGCTTATGGTAGCGTTTCTAGAAACCTGGTTGCAAAATTTTGTTTTTAGTAATGTTTCTAGGAACATGCCTGTAAAATCATTTTCTGTAGAGTTACGAAAGACTCCTGTAAAATCTGTATATAGTAATTTTACTAGAGCTTTCTCAGTAAAATTGTGTCCTATGTGGTGCACTTGAAATAATTAATATGTATTTTTTGTCATTTTTAATTGACCATTTATCAACTTAATTAATTTAATATTTCTCATTCTCTAGCAATGCTATATGAGGCAAGTTTAGTGCCGTTTGCAATATCCCCTCCAACTATGGCAAGTGTCATGAAGAACCTTTATGCCCTGAATGAAGGTAGGTAACTTAAAATCATTGGCTGTTTTTCTTAAAGTACAGTTTTAGAAGTGTATGTAAATCATAGCTCTTAAGGTCCCAGTAGATGTTGCATTAGAAGGCTCAGTGGGAATTCATAAACACAGAGAACTATCATAATTGGGCTATCTTCCGAATAACGGTCCCAAATTATTGAGGCCGAAAATATACCCTAACAGGGCCTCAGTCACTTGTCAATTGCAGACTTCCGGCGACTTAAATTGCACACTTCCAATGACTGCCACCACCACTGAGAGTATCTCTCACTCCGCTACGCGCAGCGTGGATTGGGGCTAAATTAGGTGGCTGGGACTCACGAGCAGCAGCTACCGCATCTTCTGCAGCTTCCTTCGTTTTATTTGCTCGTGAGTCCCAGCCATCTAGTTTAGCCCCAATCTACGCCGTGGGAGATACTCTCGGCAGTGCGGAAGTCCGCAATTGACACGTAACTGAGGCCCTGTTACGGTATATTTTCGGCCTCAATAATTTGGGACCGTTATTCGGAAGATAGCCCATAATTGTTTCAGATTCTTAGCACTCACCCGCTGTAAAGCTCTGGTTGTTTTATCTACTTGTGGACTTCAGACTTGTTCCAAAATTTGTGTTTTGCAGGCACATCCATTGTACACATCTGATTATGTGTACGCAGACTGTTGGTTCCTCACCCCACAGGTAGAGGCATTGTTTCTTCAAAGGAAGCACTGCAGATAAGTCAACTTTTGCGATGTGCTTGATGGAGGCCGTGGATCTATTCTCAAGAACCCACATTGGGAATAAGTGTTTAATTTTCAGACACTTGGCGTATACTGTGAGGAGTGGCAGGTCGAGTGGTTAGAGCACTGAGTTGTTGTGTAAAAGACTCGGGCTCAATCCTCGGTAAGGGATGAAGGATTTCTTTCTTTGTCGGGGACAAAAATAAAAATACAAACCTTAACAGTTTGTGTGGACAGCACTCTCCATTCGCCTTTAAATCCTGCAGCTGATAATCCTCCCTACTCCCAATGTCCTACACCACGCTAAAAGTGGTCAGTGCAGATAACAAAGACAGCAGCATATGCTGTGCTACATGTTGAAATATCTGGATGCAGTTCTTGAATAACCTCGGACCAAATAAGATAGCTTCAAGAATATTACTTGGTAAGGCAACAATCTCTTCCACGCTGCAACTCTCAGAAAACATTGAGAGCATTTTGTTTTTAAATAAACAGCCCAACGAGGAATTCAAACCCTTGGAGGAGGGTTATGAAATTGTTGAATGCATTCACTAACCTCTCAGTTATAGAGACATATTATATATACTGTAGAAGTGTAAAAATAAGGGGATAAGTAATCACACTGTGATAAGTAATCACACTGTGGTGTGGTCAACATGGCTGTGGGACCAAGTTATGAGTTATGATTTGGGTTATCTTCATGCACTCCAGACATGTCCTTGGGTGCTCAGATCCCCCCTTCAGCTTATACATCAGCGTCCTGCGGTTGAATGGTCCCGGTCCTGTGTTGGTTGACACGACTTCTCATGCGTCTTGTGTGCTTCTGATGCCTGGCTATGGCGATCTTTGCTCTCAATTCTTGCATTCTTAGCAAAGTTGCAGATGTGCTGCTCCCTAAATCCTCCAAACGTCCTGCTTCTCTAATGGCATTAACAATGTCGGCATGATCCATGGGTTGGCCCTCTGTAACTAAAGCAGAGCCGGCTAATCTGTTGGCTCTTTCATTGCTAACAACACTCACATTCCCTAGGGCAAAGACGAAGGGAACTACCTGCAGCGATGTTTCGCAATGACTTAATCCACTGTCTGCATACAAAGCCTGCCTCGACCCACCGGATCATACTCATGGAATCACTCAGCACACACACGGGAGAATAGCCCTGAGATACTGGCCACATAAAAGCTTGTGTTACCGCCATCATATCAAAGGCACCACTTGTCTCCTGGGCTGTTCTTGTGGATACTTGGTCTTTAGGGAGAACACATGCGATGACATATCTGGGTGTGAAGTTTGATCGCAGTCTGTCCTTCAAAGACCACGTCGACCATGTTATTACGAAGGCTGTAAGGGCTTATCAGCAATGAGGGTTCTGGTCACCGCCAACATCGAGCAGAGCCTGCTTCTGCTTCTGTTCCAGGGACTCTTTTTTTTTCTTCAGTCGAACATGTTTTGGTCATACTCACCGTCAGCAGTACTCAGACTGAAAGACTGGAAAAGGTGCAAAATGAAGAAATGCGCGTTATTCTGGGGTGCACAAGAGACACCTCTTGCGTAGCAATGAGATATCTTCTTGACTTTCCGGCAATGCACCACATGATGAAGATCTGGTGGACTCGTGCATACCTGAAGATAAGCTCGGTTTTGAAACACTATCTGCACAATGTTCTCTTTAGGAAAACGGACACCAGCTAAAAAGGAGCAAATAATGGCTTGGTAGCGCAGAGAATGATATGGTACAGGTCTGTAGTCTTACTGACATCAACCCCAGCGAAGAATGGATACCTATGCCCTATGTGCTCAACTCCAGCTTTTCCTGTGTTGTCATGCTTGATAGTTGTCAGGAGCAGAATCCAGTTACCTTATCTTAAAAATTCCTTTGCAGGGCATTGCAGAACCACCCTAGCAGTTTTTGGCTGTTTGGGATATTACTGGGAAATATTTCATTGAGTAGTTTGCCATTGCTTTCTAAATGGTTGGCTGTATCAGTCTGCTGTCAAATAGTGTTCACAGTGCCTAAGCCGTGGAGACTAAAGAAAATTAAGATGTAACGAATAAGCAGAAGAGACTTTGTTATTTTTAAGATTATACTTTTTCAGGAATAAACAGAACACTATTATCTGAAAGGAAGACAATAAACAGACAAGCTGAACAATATTTACTCACATATGGTTTTTGAGAATTGAGTTAATTCCAGAACCGACATCACAGCATTTGGAGCATTCCCATAAGTGCTCTGTCCCCATCCTCAGCAGCCATTAAAGGGTTTTTGAGGAGAATGCAGAGACTATCATGGTGTCATGGAATTGTTGACAAACAGATGAGCCTGTCCTCCTTGAAAGAGATGAACACCATGAACTGATTAGAGAAATTAGACATAGGCTCTCTGCAAAGATGCAGAGAGCGAAGAAAAGAATGATATCTTGGAGAGAGCGAAGAAAAGAATGATATCTCTGAACTGTTATTGGCAGATGACTAAGTATTAATAGCAGAAACAGAAGAGATTTTACAGAACCATATAGACCAAGTCAATACTAAGTGTGAGAAATATAATATGAGGATAAGCCCTGATAAGACAGAGGCAATGGTAATAGGTGGACAAAAAGAAATAATTTCAGTGAAAGTAAATAACACATAAATAAAACAAACGAGCAAATTTAAATACCTAGGTTTATTTTTCACCTCCCATGGAAGAATGGATAGAGAAATCAATATATGATGTGCGAAAGCAATTCAGGTTATGGGACAATTATCACCGCTTCTGGCGCATAGAAAGAGGCCTCTGTCAACCAAAGCAAATCTTATAAGAATAGTTTTTTGGCTGACATTGTGCTACTAGTGCCAAACATGGACCCTTACTACAACTAATAAGTGGAAGATCGTAACAACAGAGCTGAGATGTCGGTGTGACAAGAAGAGATAACATCAGGAATTAAGAAATTAGAAGACTAGGACTGAAACCAGTCATACAGTTCATTAAAGAATAACAGATGAGATGGTTTGGCCACCTGATGAGAATGCCCAGGTACCAATTGCCACAGAGAGTCATGCTGAAAAAAATTTAAGAAATATTATGAACACAAGGAAAAGACCAGGCAAGAGATGGAGCAACATCATCAGGAGCAACCTAACAGAAATGAACACCAACTTGTACAATGCACTGGAAAAAGCACACAAACGAACCTTACATCCCCCCCCCCCACCTCAGTGAGGTAAATGGCTGAAGAGAAGAAGAAGACAGCCATTTATTCAGAACAATGTTTTCCCCGTTGTAAATTTTAATAATGTGGATACAAACAAAAAGTACACTATTTATTGCCTGGCATATTTCGCTATGTCTAATCAGGAGCATAAAAGTGACCTTGGCTCCCAGGTCGACCCAGCCTTGAGTGGGTACCAGGTGCAGTCCTGGGAAGAAAAAGCTGCCAGCGTGATGCTGACCACATCACCCATCTTGTGCAGATTGGTCTATAAAATATAGGTCTAGCCCAATAAGCCCTATACGCCCAAAGGCATGAAAAGGGTCCTTTATGTTTTAATAAGCAGCATGACTATGGACTTGAATCAACCTTTTGTTGAACATCTATCCATAAGAAATTCTGAAGTTCAGCAAAACGGATTCATTTTTATGTTCCTAATAGTATGCTCGCATCAAATATAAGACATTATTTTCGAACTTATGAAGTTTATGTTTTTGAACATCAAAGAAGATTGGATAGTAAATAGCATCTTATCTCAGAAATTTGAATATTTTGGCCATATCAAGCACCATAGCAGGTTGGAAAGATGTATAGCAAAAAACGTGGTACTGGTAAAAAGGGTCAGGTGCCGACCGGCACGAAGATGGCAGAGGATATAAGTGACACCTTGGGTGGGAGAGCTGGGAAGAGACTGCGTTTCTTTCAGGCAGATCATGATGAGAGGAACAGTCTGGAAAGGACCTGCTAAGTTGATATTTCATGCAAAATGTCGAAAAATATTCTGAAAAAAATACCTTTTATAAAAAAACCATTCTTTTATCTAATTCACAGAATATTCCAAGTTAAACCCACATTTGTTCTCACGCTACCTTCCCAACATCCTCCCTCCCACTGATCCAGCTTTGTTAGATCAGTACGCAGAGGAGGCCCACCAAATACAGGAACACATAGCTGGCAGGAATGATTTTAAAAGGTAAACTGACTGTGTGCCAGCAGATAGCTATGGGTCTGTGTAACGTCTGATGTGTGGGTAGTGTGTGCCAGCAGATAGCTATGGGTCTGTGTAACGTCTGATGTGTGGGTACTGTGTGCCAGCAGATAGCTATGGGTCTGTGTAAAGTCTGATGTGTGGGTAGTGTGTGCCAGCAGATAGCTATGGGTCTGTGTAACGTCTGATGTGTGGGTAGTGTGTGCCAGCAGATAGCTATGGGTCTGTGTAAAGTCTGATGTGTGGGTAGTGTGTGCCAGCAGATAGCTATGGGTCTGTGTAACGTCTGATGTGTGGGTAGTGTGTGCCAGCAGATAGCTATGGGTCTATGTAACATCTGATGTGTGGGTACTGTGTGCCAGCAGATAGCTATGGGTCTGTGTAAAGTCTGATGTGTGGGTAGTGTGTGCCAGCAGATAGCTATGGGTCTGTGTAACGTCTGATGTGTGTGTAGTGTGTGCTAGCAGATAGCTATGGGTCTGTGTAAAGTCTGATGTGGGGGTAGTGTGTGCCGGCAGATAGCTATGGGTCTGTGTAACATCTGATGTGTGCCAGCAGATAGCTATGAGTCTGTGTAACATCTGATGTGTGCGTAGCAGGCGGTTATGATTTAATATGTATTGTCTGATGTGTGCATAACAGACAGTCTTGAGTTACGAAGTAATGTCTTCTGTGTGTCTAGCTAATAGTAATGAGTTAATGTGTGATGTCTGCTGTATGCTTACAAGATAGACATGAATTAAGTGTGTAACATCTGCTGTTTAATTAGCAGGTGGACATGAGCTCAGAGTTAGGTGAATAATATTTACTTTGTGCCTAGCTGATAGTTGTTGAGTTGTGTATAATGTCTGCTGTATGCCTAGTGGATAGTCGTTGATTTGTGTTAACTGTATGCTGCGTGCTGAGCAGATAATTATAAGTTAAGTGTGTAATGTCTTCTATGCCCAGCAGATGTCATTTATTTGTGTGTAATGCCAGCCATGTACCTAGCAGGTATGTCGTGGATTGTGGCCGGTAAACTCGCTTTAATCTAGCGAATGCACTATGTGCAATCTACAGAGGGAATCGCAAACAGTGAATCATCCTAAAAGATTATATTTCTCCCAGCCTTGCTGGTTAAAGGAGAGGATTCAGAGTTTGCCCACATATGATTCCTTTCTGTTATATATGGTATACTTAAATGTACTAAAGTTCACTGACACGAATGATTAGTTAAAACTCCATAACACTGGAAGAAATATTAACACTATAACATTTATTTAGAAAAGTCAAACTAAATTAGACTGGCTGTGGAGATAAAATTGGTCCCTGGTTATGGATGGGGATAGTAGATCAGTCTGTCAACTTAGTTGTAGCTCGTGTTCCTTAGGTCAGCTTCTAGCTCAGCCTCGAAGACACATCAGGCCGGTCGAATCTTCTAGTCCAGTCTAGACAATAGGGCATCTGCTGGAACTCACTTCTGGAATTTTCACCTGGAACTAGAACAATAGAACAGTCCCTGTACAAGCAGTTTGGAAAGTTCTCACTGGAGACAACAGTACCTCCAGTCTTCATATACTGTTACACTACACACACATGTGGAGTAGGGTAATCACAAGTGTTCACATTCTTTACTGGTACATAATGGGAATGTATACAGAACATCAGTTTCATGAATACTTTCAAGCACAAGAGTCACACAAAAAGAAAGAACATTCTTCAGTGTGAATTATTATTCTGATGTCACACTAGTACTCCTTTATGGGGTTAACATGCTTACACACACAGTCACATTTCACAATAGATTCTAATTTCAACCACGTGGGTTCACATCACAAAGAATGAGAATCAGGGAGTGAGTTTACCGGGGCCGGAAACTCATAACATGTGCGTTGCGCAGTTTGAAATTAATGGGATTGGACATATCTCAATCAATATAACTGGGTGCTGGGATAGATGTCATAATACAATCATTGATGATAATGGGCTTCCCATCTGTCACAGTATTAACATAAAATATTCAACACTAATAGTTTAAATTTGAATCCATACATGTGCTAAATCTTATATGTACCTAGCAGATATGTCGTGGATTTGCATGCAATACCTGCCATGTATCCATGTACCTAGCAAATGTCAAGGATTTGTATGAATGTCTGCTGTATGCCTAGCAGATGCTCATGAGTTAGGTGTTTAATGTCTGCTGTATGCCTAGCAAAATAGTCATGAATTAGGTATGTTGTAATGTCTGCTGTGTGCCTAGCAGATACTCATGAGTTAGGTGTTTAATGTCTGCTGTATGCCTAGCAAATAGTCATGAGTTAGGTATGTTGTAATGTCTGCTGTATGCCTAGCAAATAGTCATGAGTTAGGTATGTTGTAATGTCTGCTGTATGCCTAGCAGATACTCATGAGTTAGCTGTGTAATGTCTGCTGTATGCTTAGCAAAATAGTCATGAGTTAGGTATGTTGTAATGTCTGCTGTATGCCTAGCAGATACTCATGAGTTAGGTGTTTAATGTCTGCTGTATGTCTAGCAAAATAGTCATGAGTTAGGTATGTTGTAATGTCTGCTGTATGCCTAGCAAAATAGTCATGAGTTAGGTATGTTGTAATGTCTGCTGTATGCCTAGCAAAATAGTCATGAGTTAGGTATGTTGTAATGTCTGCTGTATGCCTAGCAAATAGTCATGAGTTAGGTATGTTGTGATGTCTGCTGTATGCCTAGCAGATAGTCATGAGTTAGGTATGTTGTAATGTCTGCTGTATGCCTAGCAGATAGTCATGAGTTAGGTGTGTAATGTCTGCTGTGTGCCTAGCAAAATAGTCATGAGTTAGGTATGTTGTGATGTCTGCTGTATGCCTAGCAGATAGTCATGAGTTAGGTATGTTGTAATGTCTGCTGTATGCTTAGCAAATAATCATGAGTTAGGTATGTTGTGATGTCTGCTGTATGCCTAGCAGATAGTCATGAGTTAGCTGTGTAATGTCTGCTGTATGCCTAGCAGATAGTCATGAGTTAGGTATGTTGTAATGTCTGCTGTATGCCTAGCAGATAGTCATGAGTTAGCTGTGTAATGTCTGCTGTGTGCCTAGCAAAATAGTCATGAGTTAGGCATGTTGTAATGTCTGCTGTATGCCTAGCAGATACTCATGAGTTGGGTGTTTAATGTCTGCTGTATGCCTAGCAAAATAGTCATGAGTTAGGTATGTTGTAATGTCTGCTGTATGCCTAGCAAAATAGTCATGAGTTAGGTATGTTGTAAAGTCTGCTGTATGCCTAGCAAATAGTCATGAGTTAGGTATGTTGTGATGTCTGCTGTATGCCTAACAGATAGTCATGAGTTAGGTATGTTGTAATGTCTGCTGTATGCCTAGCAGATACTCATGAGTTGGGTGTTTAATGTCTGCTGTATGCCTAGCAAAATAGTCATGAGTTAGGTATGTTGTAAAGTCTGCTGTATGCCTAGCAAATAGTCATGAGTTAGGTATGTTGTGATGTCTGCTGTATGCCTAACAGATAGTCATGAGTTAGGTATGTTGTAATGTCTGCTGTGCACCTAGCAAATAGTCATGAGTTAGCTGTGTTATGTCTGCTGTATGCCTAGCAAATAGTCATGAGTTAGGTATGTTGTGATGTCTGCTGTATGCCTAGCAAATAATCATGAGTTAGGTATGTTGTAATGTCTGCTGTATGCCTAGCAAATAGTCATGAGTTAGGTGTGTTGTAATGTCTGCTGTGCACCTAGCAAATAGTCATGAGTTAGGTATGTTGTAATGTCTGCTGTGCACCTAGCAAATAGTCATGAGTTAGGTATGTTGTGATATCTGCAGTATGCCTAGCAATTAATCATGAGTTAGGTATGTTGTGATGTCTGCTGTGCGCCTAGCAAATAGTCATGAGTTAGCTGTGTAATGTCTGCTGTATGCCTAGCAAATAGTTATGAGTTAGGTATGTTGTAATGTCTGCTGTATGCCTAGCAAATAATCATGAGTTAGGTATGTTGTGATGTCTGCTGTATGCCTAGCAAATAATCATCAGTTAGGTATGTTGTAATTTCTGCTGTATGCCTAGCAAATAATCATGAGTTAGGTATGTTGTAATGTCTGCTGTATGCCTAGCAAATAGTCATGAGTTAGGTATGTTGTAATGTCTGCTGTGCACCTAGGTATGTTGAGTTAGCAACATACCTAGCAAATAGTCATGAGTTAGCTGTGTAATGTCTGCTGTATGCCTAGCAAATAGTCATGATTTAGGTATGTTGTGATGTCTGCAGTATGCCTAGCAAATAGTCATGAATTAGCTGTGTAATGTCTGCTGTATGCCTAGCAAATAGTCATGAGTTAGGTATGTTGTAATGTCTGCTGTGTGCCTAGCAAATAGTCATGAGTTAGCTGTGTAATGTCTGCTGTATGCCTAGCAAATAGTCATGAGTTAGGTATGTTGTAATGTCTGCTGTATGCCTAGCAAATAATCATGAGTTAGGTATGTTGTAATGTCTGCTGTATGCCTAGCAAATAGTCATGAGTTAGCTGTGTAATGTCTTCTGTATGCCTAGCAAATAGTCATGAGTTAGGTATGTTGTAATGTCTGCTGTATGCCTAGCAAATAGTCATGAGTTAGGTATGTTGTAATGTCTGCTGTATGCCTAGCAAATAATCATCAGTTAGGTATGTTGTAATGTCTGCTGTATGCCTAGCAAATAGTCATGAGTTAGGTATGTTGTGATGTCTGCTGTATGCCTAGCAAATAATCATCAGTTAGGTATGTTGTAATGTCTGCTGTATTCCTAGCAAATAGTCATGAGTTAGGTATGTTGTAATGTCTGCTGTATGCCTAGCAAATAGTCATGAGTTAGGTATGTTGTAATGTCTGCTGTATGCCTAGCAAATAGTCATGAATTAGCTGTGTAATGTCTGCTGTATGCCTAGCAAATAGTCATGAGTTAGGTATGTTGTAATGTCTGCTGTGTGCCTAGCAAATAGTCATGAGTTAGCTGTGTAATGTCTGCTGTATGCCTAGCAAATAGTCATGAGTTAGGTATGTTGTAATGTCTGCTGTATGCCTAGCAAATAATCATGAGTTAGGTATGTTGTAATGTCTGCTGTATGCCTAGCAAATAGTCATGAGTTTAGCTGTGTAATGTCTTCTGTATGCCTAGCAAATAGTCATGAGTTAGGTATGTTGTAATGTCTGCTGTATGCCTAGCAAATAGTCATGAGTTAGGTATGTTGTAATGTCTGCTGTATGCCTAGCAAATAATCATCAGTTAGGTATGTTGTAATGTCTGCTGTATGCCTAGCAAATAGTCATGAGTTAGGTATGTTGTGATGTCTGCTGTATGCCTAGCAAATAATCATCAGTTAGGTATGTTGTAATGTCTGCTGTATGCCTAGCAAATAGTCATGAGTTAGGTATGTTGTAATGTCTGCTGTATGCCTAGCAAATAGTCATGAGTTAGGTATGTTGTAATGTCTGCTGTATGCCTAGCAAATAATCATCAGTTAGGTATGTTGTAATGTCTGCTGTATGCCTAGCAAATAGTCATGAGTTAGGTATGTTGTGATGTCTGCTGTATGCTTAGCAAATAATCATGAGTTAGGTATGTTGTGATGTCTGCTGTATGCTTAGCAAATAATCATGAGTTAGGTATGTTGTAATGTCTGCTGTGTGCCTAGCAGATAGTCATGAGTTAGACTGACCATGAACTACAGGATCAAGATTTGGAGGGCTTACACATACCTGAAGATAAGCTCAGATCTGAAGCACCCTTTGCACCACATGCTCTTCAGAAGAAGAAAAAAAGAAACAGACCAAAAAATAACACAAAAATTAGGGCTTGGTAGGGGCAAAGGATTATATTAAGCAGGTCTGCAGTCTTACAGACATCCAATGTTGCAAGAAATGTTTTCATGTGCCTAAAGCACTCAGTCTGCTTTCTTACAAGAATGCATGAACATTCAGAGCTCACTCTGCAGTCAGAACAGTTTAGGAAGCCAGAGGTGCCTTTTTGTGTGACTACCAGCAGCATGACAATGGAGGTGATAGCAGTGACATAAGCTTTCATGTAGCTGGAATCACAGGACTGTTCCCATGTGTGTGTGCTGAGTGATTGTAAGCGGGCTCTGTACGCAGACAGTGGATTGTCATTTTAAAACTTCCCTGTATGTGTAGTTACCTTAGTCTTTGTCACAGAGTATTCAGGTGTTTTTGACAGTAAAGAGCTGATAGATTGGCCGGTTGTGCTTTAGTTTTAGGTGGCCATTCTATGGATCACGCTGGCAGTCAGTAGTGCTTTTAGAGAGATAGGAGGATTTTGGAAGCAGCGTGTCTACATCACTGCTAAGAATACAAGAACAGAGTAAAGATCAACACAGCCAAGCATGAGAGGCACACTGGACATACAAGAAGTCTTGTTAAGCAGCATAAGACTGGCACAACTAACCATGGGACACTCATGTATATGTTGGAGGGAAAATCTAAGCTCAGGTGGACTTGTCTGAGTTGCCGTGAAGACCGAACTCATGATTTAAATGTATATTGTCTACAGTGTGCTTTTCATACTCTGTCCCTTGTGTTGTTGATGAGGTTTTTGTGGGGGGGGGGGGGGGGAGGGGGAACCCCACCAAATTCTTTTGTTATTATTATTCTTCATTGGATTAATTTCTTAATATTAGCTTTGCTGCAGTCCCTCTATTTTAATTGTTTTTCAAATAGAGAAGAGTTAAGTGTGTAGTGTCCACTGTGTGCCTAGCAGGTAATAGGAGAGTGAGTTTGTAATGTCTTCTATGTACCCAGAAAATAAGTATGGATTAATGTTATGTCCACTGTTTACCAAATCAAAGGTTTTTTTTTTTTTTTTGGGGGGGGGGGGGGGGGGGGGGGTCATCCTCTTTGTGTATCAGAAGGAATCATTAATTAGTTTATTTTATCCAGTGTAAACTCATTGTTTAGGGTATCATGTTAATTGTACACCCAGTAAACACCCATGAAGTTGTTTCCTCCAGTTGAGGAAATTCCATTATTAACATCTGAAAGTATTTGACAGTTACAGACACTTTTACAGTTCTGCTACTCAGTTACAGGTTGTATTGTCTACACAAGATTATATATCTTGTGTAAATGTTGTTTTTCATGCATCAGTGATTAAGTACAGATGTATTAAATCTGTTGACGATTTTTTTTTTGTTTCAGCCACGAGTCGAGTCGGAAACGTGTATTTGAAGATGACATTTCAGTGAATTAATTATACTGATCAGGGAACATGTAAGTGATGTCAGTTCATTTTATTTCATACACTACATCATCATGAAGGAATGACAGCCAGGTTTCTCATCTCCTCAGGTGTCAGACACGGAAGTGTCCTCTCTTCTTTTTGCAGACGATCATTGTCTAATATACTGCCAAGAACAGAATTTACACCATATTGACTCCTTACATCAAACTTGCACAAAGTATGATATGAGAATAAATACAGCGAAAACTGAGGTCATGAGGATAGTAAGGAAACATAATATCATGAACATTTATGTTAACGGTACTACAGTCAAACAAGTACAAGAATTCAAATGTCTAGGAAGCATATGCCTGAAGAAAGGAAAGTCACCAGGTTGCAACGAAATACCAGCAGAACTAATTCAAGCAGGAGGAGAGGCCAGCGTCCGAATCTACCATGCACTGTGCTCGAAGATCTGGAACAGTGGCATTTGGCCTAAAGCTAGGAAAAGAACAGTCTATATCCCTCTCCCAAAGAAAGGATATCCAAAACTATGCTCGAACTACCGTACTATCGCATTAATAAGTCATGCTAGCAAAATCCTCTTACGAAGGATTGAAAGGAAATTACAATATGAACTAGATGAAGCACAAGCGGGTAGAGGAACTAGGGATCACATATTTAATATGAGAATAATTTTTGAAAAATGCAGAGAATACAATGTAGATCTTCATGCTTGTTTTATTGATTATAGCAAGGCATTTGATTGTGTCTAGCACCACCGACTGTGGACTATTATGAAAAGTATGGGATTTCCAGCGCATTTAGTGCAATTAATTGAAAATCTCTATCATGAACAACAAGCAGCCATCAGAGCAGCTGGTGAAACATCTGATTGGTTCGAGGTGCAAAAGGGGGTGAGGCAGAGGTGCATTCTCTCACCATATCTATTCAATATATACGCAGAAAATATAATGAGAAATGTCAAAAATGACCAGATTTGTGACAGTTATGATCCGCTCAAAATTGGTGGCAACCCTATTCCGGAACTCCGCTACGCAGATGACACAGTCCTCTTTTCAAACAGCGTAAAGGGAATAGAAAATTTTATATTGTCCGTCCAAAAGCACAGTGAAGATCAAAATCTGTTCTTGAATTTAAAGAAAATGAAAATAATGTCCACAGATAAAACTGGCTGTCACCCAAAAATAACAATAAATGATGAAGAAATTGAAAATGTCACAAACTTTGAATATCTAGGCCCCCCCATGTGGGTTCTGGGGCCCCTTTGTGAGGAAAACAAGAATAGACCCACTGCCTCCCCAAAAGCATGTCGTAAGAGTCGACTAATTGGGGAGCTTCCTTTGAAGTCGGAGTGCATCTGCCGGAGAGGCAAGGAACCAACAGTCTGTATTCAAATGAATGAGATCTGTAAAACTGATGCACACGCAACACTCAGGTTCTGGAGCAGGACTGCAGTTCAGTAGTGGACAAGCAATCAGAACCTTCCGCCAGAGTGTACAGCTGGTGAACGCGAAGAAGAAGAAGAAGAATATCTAGGCTCTATAATAAACAACAATGGAGACTGTTCGACAGAAATTAAAAGGAGGATGGCCATAGCAATGCAAAGATTGGACAGCCTTAAAAGTCTATGGTTAAGCACCAGCAAGGAGATAAAAATTAGAATTTTGAGAGCATGCATCTTCCCTGTGGCTACATACGGATGTGAGTCATGGACTATCTCTCAGTCCTTAAGAAAGAGAATAGGGGCTTTTGAGCTGAAATGCTATAGAAAGATTCTCAGAATATCTTGGACAAAGAAGATGAGAAATATTGACATCTTAAAAGATCTGAACATCAAGGAAGATTGGTTAATAAACAGCATCCTTTCTCGAAAGCTGAAATATTTTGGTCATATCAAGCGCCACGACGGATTGGACAAAATTATAGCAGAAGGCATGGTACCAGGAAGGAGGGGCAGAGGCCGACCAACACGAAGATGGTCACAGGATATAAGTGACTCCTTGAGTGTGAAAGTTCATAAGGCGGGATAACTGGCAAGAGACCGAGTTTCTTACAGGCAGACTGTGATGAGAGCGACGTTCTGCAAAGGACCTGCTACATGATGATGAGGAAGCATATTCACGGAGTATAGAGATAGAGAGAAAAAAGCCACAGTACAGAAGGCAAATGCTGTCACCAACCAGTTAGCCCCACTACCTAGACACCCTCATGTCTCCCTTCCTGCAAAACAGCCAATGATTAATAGCATCTTTATCCCTGTTTTTGTTATCAGTGCCAAATATGGACAATGAATAGGGCACTTCTTCCTAAACTCCATGCCGTATGGCATTGGTAGTGATGTCTACCCACAGCTTTCTGTCTCATTTATTTTCAGTCAGCTCTGACACAGATGATCTTCCATGCCATGATGTCAAACTGTCCAGCATCTGTTCTCTTGGTCTCCCTCTGCCTCTCTTCCCCCTCCAACTTTCCTACCGTCACGATGTGCTCCAGTTTTCTCCTTCTCATCAAATAACCAAAGAATGTAGATTGTCTCTTTCTGATGTGGGCAATCAGTTCTCTTCATGAGTCAGTTTCTTTCAAGAAGTCTTCATTACTCATTTTATCTGTCCAAGTTATTCTCATCATTCATCTATCAAACCACATCTTCACAGCTTGCAAATAAGTTTTCACTAATTTACTAAATGTCCATGATTCATATCCGTATATCAATACAGGATTTATATCACTTTTAAGAATTCTATTTTTCATCTCAAAGACAAAGACAGAATACATAAAATATTTTTCATTTTGTGAAATGCTGCCCTTGCTTGAGCTATTCGACATTTAACTTCCTTAAAGCATCTTCCATCTGGTGTTATCAGTGTACCCAAGTCATCATCAGGTGCCTTGCCGACTGGCGTGGGCGATCATGCCTCTCCATAATCTGCGATCTCCTGCAGCATGTATCAGTTCATGTGCCGACACACCTCCATGCCATGCAACAAGACTGTCAAGCATCTTCTCTCGTTGTCTTCCTCTATCCCTCCTTCCACATATCTTTCCAGTGGTCACAACATGTTCTATTTTCCCTCTTCTCATAACGTGGCCGAAAAATGATGACCGTCTCCTTCTGATGTCTGTGATAAGTTGTCTTCGGGCTCCCGCCTCTTTTAAAACCTCTTGGTTGCTCTTTTTGGCTGTCCAAGTTATTCTAAGCATTCTTCTGTAAAACCACATCTCTGAGGCCTCTAAAAATTTTTTGGCCTTCCTACCGATTGTCCAGGATTCACAGCCATATGTTAAAACTGGAGGTATGTAGCAAGCAAGAATTCTTTTTCTAACTCTCAATGACAAGGATATATTGCACAAGATGTTCTTCATTTTATAAAATGCATGCCTGTCCTATTCTGTTTCTTATCTCAGTTATGCATCTTCCATCTGATGTTTTCCATGTGCCCAGATACTTACATTTCTGTACTTGTCCTAAAATAACACCATCAACTTTTATTACACACTTTTGCTTGAGGTTTGTCCCATTTACTTTGATGCTGCAATTTGGAGGATCAGTTTTCTTTGTAATTACCATTACTTCTATTTTCCTGTTGTTCAAACTAAGCCCCTTGTTTTCACTTTCGATTTCAATAATATCCATCGTTTCTTGCAACTGTGTTTCATTTTTAAGGATCAAAAATAGGGCACTATAACAGAAAATAACTGTGAAATGCGCTTCCCGCTAGGTCACTAACAACACAAGAAGAGACAAGCTTGTTTATACCAGCATTAGAAAGAAAATTGGAAATAGGCCTTTCGACCTAGCACATCCAGTTTCAGCAAAGCCATCTTCTATGTCTTGCTTATTAGGGGTCAGTTGGTCTACTTTTTTGGGTGGTTTATTGATGACATTTGACTTGATGTCATATTCCTGTTCTTTTTCAGTCTGTTAGATTTTGTGTTTGATTTATTGATGACATTTGACTTGATGTCATATTCCTGTTCTTTTTCAGTCTCTGTTAGATTTTTTGTTTGGTAGTTGTTTATATGGTTAGTGATGATTATGTTTAGACTCAATTTGATCTTATTCCTTTTGACTTCTGTTATGACTCCTTAAAGTAATTAAAGAGTAAAGAATTCCATAATTTCTTTTCAGTGTTCACTAAGTGTAAACTCTGAAGAAAATTTCTGGTTGTTTAACCACATCTGGGCTGTAGTCATGTTCCAGACTTGAGTTTTTCGTGCACATCAGTTTCACGGATCTGGTTTATTTCTATGCATGCTGTTGATTCTTCACCTCTCAGGCAGATTCTCGTTGACTTCAAAAGAAACACCCATAATAAGTTAGCTCCAAAGAGAGTACTGAAGTTCACAGTACTGGCGGCAAGAGGAAGGTGTATTCCAAAGATTTATTAGTGTGTATGCTGGGCAGCATAGCTGATTTTCTGTTACTTTGTCCCTGCTTTTTTTCCCCTTTAACTTTACCATTTCATGACATTTTTTCTTCCTCTATGTTTGCCCTTAAGAGAGCAGTTGGCATATTGTGTTTTGGGTTGGTCAACGATATGGGCACCTTTTGGTCAAACTAATCTGGTTTTAGCAAACTCCTAATTTGAATACTGCGAACACAAACATAACATTTCACAATTTATTGCCAGGCATATTTGGCAGTATCTTGTCAGTTACATTACTACAGAGTTAAATCAATATATAAACATTGTTTTGAAGCTCCTAATTATTCGTCTATTAGGACATCTTGTTAAGGGGCAATGGGTCTATTGTTTTCTCTAAAATGAGGTTGCAGAATCCTCTTGGTGAATGATCTTTTCCACTTTTCCTCTTCTTGATTCATTCCCCCCCCCCTCCCCCTCCCCCAACCCATGTGAATTGCCTTCTTTTGATGTGGGCAATCAGCTCGCTGAGTTTATTTCTTTCAAGACATCGTCATTATGCTTTTTATCTGACAAAATTATTTTTTTTTTAATCGTTTTTCTATAAGAGTAAGAACAAGATGCATACGTTAAGCATGTATG